GAGACATACATACATACATACATACATACATACATACATACATACATACATACATACATACATACATATATATATATATATATATATGTCTCTAGTTATTCGGGTTTTCTCCCGCGTAAAATTGGAGATGTCTTGGCGACGTTTCGACGAAGTCTCATTCGTCATCTTCAGGCTACTTCAGGCTTGGTGCTTCCAGGAGCAATGGAAATTAGCTTTTAATATTTATAATCATTTTTGCTATTTAAAAAGTACAACTAAAATTAATAACTAAACATGAAAGCTTTTGAAGCTAAAAATGTTTGTATGCACCAAGCTAACAGACTGCTGAAATTGAGCCAGTTTGGATCTTAACCAAGCTGGGCTTATTATAGGAGGCCTCAAGGAATGCTGCTATTACTAGCAATGGAGCAAATAATTTATAAGCCAATTATTTTATTAACTTTAACCTAATTTTCTGCTTCTCTGAGAAGAGTTCATAATTTTGCCTGAGCTAACTTGCTACTAAGCAATCATTCAGTTTTAGTAGTAGGTAAAGATTCTGAATGAGGTTTTAAGATAGCAGTGGAATATACCGTGATAGACTACAAGCCAAATTCTCACAGGTATGTGAATCTGGTATGCAAGTCAGATGGTGCATCTGCATATATATTTGGTATAATAGAGTATTTTGGAAGCTTGCCAGACATGAGGCAAACAAAACAATACTGTACATTCTACAAAATAGCCTGCAATGCTCCTAAAAAGCGGCCAGGTTTGGAGCTGAATTTTTAAGACAGCTGTTGTTATATAATTGGGATAAATAGGGCTGTGTAGGATTTGAATTCAAAGGAGAAGAGATGCTTCTGCACATACAGGATGTAGGCATACCATCCTTCTGCAACTTCCTAAAACAGCTCCATCCTCCCCCATCTTTTCCAGGTTACCTCTTCAACTGCTGCACAATTCCAAGAAAAGACACATCATACAAAGGCCATGATCCACCCCAGCCTTTGAAACTCAAGAGATATCCAACCCTATGTTGCTAACAGCTTTGCCCTGAAAACATTGAATATGTGTTGACCTCATAATGAATCACTCATAGTGAATAGAATTACCATACAAATTTGACATGGCTGAATACTTAAGGGAATAAATACAATAAAATGACTTATTTTTCTATTAGCTTGTTTTTTCAATTAGTCCGGCTACCCATGGCAAGCAAAACATTTTAACATCTGCATAATGGCATATATAAAAGACTAGTGAAACATTTTAATTTCTTAAATAAAGTGGCTACTATATACTCTACAGTCAATAAGTCTCTAAATAAATTAAAATGAAGTTTACTCAGCCTAATTGACTTCACACTACACTTAATAATTTATCTCATTTGACACAATACCGATCATTAATGCCAAGCTGTTAAAATATTCCTTGATAATGAAAAGAAAAACAAAACAAGTATAATGGCAGAGAAAACACTCTAGTTATTATCTGTTTTGCTGGTCTTTGACATAATAAAGATTTGATGATGATATCTGGAATGAGCTAGTAAAAAGTGGTATATTAGGAAATATATTTCTTTTTGGTTTTTTTACACAGTCAATTGAAATTGGCACCTTTATATTAAAAAAAAAGAACAGTGCTATTTATGCTGTTACGATGTATCATCTGATCTTAATTTTAAATTTCAAGTTAATCTAAGCAAAAGTGCAACTCATTAGGTTAACATTGAATTTAAACAAATAGAAATATAAACTAAAAGGAGTTAGGGGAAGTTACACTGCACACCATCACAGGAAACAAGAAAAAGAAAATATTTCAAGTATGGAATCAAGCAGAAAGTAAATAATATTTATTTTTATTTATTTAGTTTGTCAGCCATGTAAAAAATAACAAGTATACATATAAACATGGGCATGAACAAAGGAAATGAATACAAATAAATGGGGGACAGTAGGACAGGGACAGTAAACACGCTGGTGCGTTTATTCATGCCCCCTTTACGGACCTCTTTGGAATGGGCTGAGGTCCACAGTAGACAGTTTCAGGTTGAAGCTGTGAGAGTTTGAGGATGTAACAACGGAGTCAGATAGAGCATTCCAGGCATTGACCACTCTGTTGCTGAAGTCATATTTTCTGCAATTGAGTTTGGAATGGTTTACCTTGAGTTGTATTGATTGTTTTCCCGAGTATTATTGAGGTTGAAGCTGAAGTAGTACTTGACAGGTAGGACATTGTAGCAGACAATTTTGTGTACCATGCTTAGGTCAGACCAGGGGTGGGTTCCTGCCAGTTCTAACCTCTTCTATAGCAGAGGTTCTACAAATCTACAGTGCCGTTTAGAACCGGTTCCAGCTCCCTCCCCCCACCCGCACATCATCAAGATGAAGAGCGAGAGGAGGAATTCT